AATCCAGTGTTTTTCAACCTTTTTTGTGCAAAGGCACACTGCTGGCTCATATTTAACTGGTTGTCCACTAAGATTCCCTCTCACAGTTACTGCTATTAAGCCTGGTTTCACCCAGCCTAAATGTGTACTTTTGGTTTTTCTTGCCTAAGTGCAAGACTTTACTTTCCTCTACATTGAATTTCATTTTGTTAGATAGGGCCCAGTATTCAAGTCTGTCAAGATCCATCTGGCTCTTGAGCCTATCTTCTAGGGCAGTGATGGCTAACCATTTCCAGACAGTGCCCCTAATGTGCATGTGTACTTACACAAATGTGCTTGCACATGCCCAACTGCCGAAAATGCAATCTGTGCATGTCCCCATATGTGCACCCACCCCCACATATGTGCACACGATCCCCACATATGCACTACCCCCTGTGCATGCACATGCCCCGCACACACACACCCTTGCATGCACGCATGTATCCCTTTGTATGTGAACATTCCCCCCCTACATGTTCAGCAGAGACCCGAACACCAGCTGGTCGGCAGGAGGCACACACACACATGTGTGGCAGAGCTGAACTGGGGCAACAGCTTGTGTGCCCACAGAGAGGGCGTTGCATGCCACCTCTGGCACATGTGCCATAGGCACATGTTTCTAGGGGGTTGGATATTCCTGCCAACTTAGTATCATCCACAAATTTGATAAGTTCCTTTTTTATTCCCTCAACCAAGTTGTTAATGAAGATATTGAAGAGTACTGGGCCTAAGATAGAACCTTGTGGTACCTCACTGGTTATTTCCCTCCATGTAGATGTAGGACCATTGAGGACTATTCATTGAGTATAGTTTGTCAGCTAGTTACAAATCCATCTGAAGGTGCTGCTGTCTATCCCACTTTTTCTAGCTTACCAAGAAGTAGGCTGTAGTCTACTTTGTCAAATGCCTTGCTGAAGTCTAAATATAGTATGTCCACAGTATTTCACTGGTCCACTAATTTAGTCATTGTTTAAGAATGAAATAAGATTGGTTTGGCATGATCTGTTTTTAACAACCCATACTGACTTCTTGTTATTACTTTATTCATTTCTAGATGTTGACAGATCTGTTTTTTATTATCTTTTCTAGTATCTTCCTGCGTATTGATGTTAGGCTGATTAGACTGTAGTTTCCTGGGTCTGTTTTTTTTCTTTTTTGAAGATGGGAACCACATCAGCTGTTTTCCAGTCTTCTGGTTGTTTCCCTGTGCTCCAGGATTTTTGAAAGATGTGGTACAGGGGTTCTGAAATTACATCTGCCAGCTCCTTTCGAACTCTGGGATGTAATCCATCAGGTTGCAGTTATTTGTATTCATCAAGATCAGACAGGTGTTCTCTTACCATTTTTTGGGGGAGGGGGCTTTTAAACTTTTATTTCTAGCCTGTCTTTTACAGTTATGTTTTTGATAGGTTAGGCTCAGTGGTGGGATTCAGCCAGTTCCCACCACTTCGGGAGAACCAGTTGTTAAATTATTTGAATTCCACCACTGGTTGGGCTATAGTTTCTTTTTGCATGAAGACTGATGCAAAGAATGAGTTAA